AATTTAAAATATAATAAAGAAAAAACCTAAAAGTTAACAAATAAGAATCTTTCTGCCACAAGTCTGTTTCTAAAAAACATTTATTTAGACCTTTACACATCTTTAGAAAAACAGACATTCAGCAAAACTTTGAGAACAATTGCTAAAACGTCAAATAATTTAAAAATGATTTTTTACAGAAATATGCTGTAATTAAAGTTATACAAATTATTTGCCTGAAATTATCAAATTTATATCCTGATTAACATTTTTTTAAGACAGAATCCTTCTGATTAATCAGAAAAATCAACTACGCAATACTGATGTTTGCAGTACAGTAGATGTAGACTCCATTGTCTTGCTCTTCATTTGGTGTCTCAGTTCACAAATTCTTGTGCTGATGGTCTTCCGCACATCACCAGATTTAGCATCTGGGTGGTGCTTTAGAACAGTGTCTGTGACAGAGAATACAAAATTTATGATATTTTGATTATTGACATTCATGCAATATTCATATCCAGGAAAATTTAATTGTTTTAATAAAGAAGTGCATAAAAATAGCAGATCTCTGTAATTTTGAGTTCAACTGAGCACATATTAACCATGAGGCTCTTTGGGGAGAAAACATCACTGAGCAGCACTCTTCTCCAAATGTGTTTCACTATATAATCAAAGGTTGGCTGGACTCATGAAGGAAGTGTGTTTTGTGAGCTTTATTTTATCCAGGGGCTCTTCTGCTGTTGGGTCAATCTTATTCTTGCCTCCAGTGAGATTGGACCATAATAGTACATCTACTCTGAAGAGGCCTAACAACAACACCCAAGCCATACCACTGGCAGTCCTCTGGGCCTTAGCAGTCTCCCAGCAATGAAATACAACTGCTGTCATCACTTCCAAGTTCTACCTTCAAATACACCACAGATACAATTTGAATTTGACACCTGAAACTAAAAGCAAGGAACATTTTTAATGGAACTATTACAAACTGTTTTAAAACAATCATTATTTTATAATACTTTGTGTATGTGCATATTCACTGGGTTCTGATTCATGTTAACCCTAAATATTGGAATGGAATCACAATTGGACATTGGAATATACACAATAACATCTTTTTAAGTTCAAGTCCATCTCAGCAGGGCATAAAAAACTGGCTTTTCCACCAACCAGTAATTCGATCATAAATATTTAGTTAAGCAGAATCTATTAAAATATGAAAACTGAATTTCCAAACTTTTTGACTTGTACCAAACACATGACTGTCAGAAGATACTGAAACATCAATTTTTCAGTCACTTGTTCACACAAACTTTACACGGGGCTGAGTTGAAAGCAGCACAGCCGATAAATTACCTTTTTAATGTTGTGAGAAAATGAACGGGCTCCTTCTTCTGTGTCCTCTTCAAAATCCAGTCGTTTTGGCTTCCTAATTCGTCTTATGTTCATAAATGGAGAGGGTTCTTTAGTCATTTCCCACTCAGTCGATCTGAGAGCACTTTCTTTATCTGAAACATATAAATGAGTTACATGTTCTATATTATACTTATCTTCGTACTAAATGTCTAAAGACCACAATACAACGACAGGGAAAGCAGAAGAAAAGTAGATTTTGGTGTAGCTAAATTTGCCTAACCCTGACTTAGCAACGTGCTAGCATTCGTGTTGCATTGCAAGTAATTCACAAAAGATACTTTGAAGCTCTGTAAGCTGCTATAAATTTAGCATCTAAAATATCATCCAAATTAACACTTTAGCTAACAACCAGAAATTTAATGAGTTACTAAACAACCTACCTGACAATTGCAGCACCTTCGCTTCCTCTACAGGCCATCCGTTAACGGGTCGCTTTGAGTTTGGTCGTCGGCATTCCACAAGATAAGTTTTTGAAATGTCAGTTGAATCAAAGTCTATTATCCATTTGGTTTCGATAACATTATCCGCATCTTTATTTAGGCCAGCGTTCGAGGAACCCAATGCGTATTTCTGCATCTCCGTTTGTCGCAGTATTTTCTGCGCGCCAAGTTCTAACGTAGTACTGTTTATCTGCGCATGCGCGCATAGGAAACCGCGTCCTGCATCGAGCCTATTGGTAGGTGGAAGGGTGTGTAATAGATAATAGTTCTGTTTCATATTTGTCTTTTATTAACATTGCCTTTTTATAGAATCCGTCGCGAATGCTTAGATGGAAAAATAGGTTTATGTAATAGTTGTGTTCTTTTGTGTTGCACAAGATGCATTTCTGCTATTGATAAATTACAAATAAATTATAAAATATCACTCCGATGTTGTTTAACAGGGTTGAAAAAGTACGCTCATATAAATTAATTAAATCGTATTTATTTTCGCAGATAATGAAAGAATTCAGTCTAAGGCATTGCCACTTCTGAGTAAAGATACTTTGAGAAGTGCAACAAAAGAATGCAAAGAGTTGTTTGACAGATTAACTCCTCAAAAGAAATTGAGGAGATTTAATTAAAGAAGTAACAGCTAAGGTTGCCGCTGTTGGGATGCATTATTCAAGAAAACCTCCAAGGCAGGAGGAGCTTGCTCTTAGAGAAGATGCATCAGTTACACCAGACACAGTTGTTCAGATATTTAATAGAGTTCTTGTGAATGGGCAACTGTACTATTCAGTGGACTTCAAAAAAGTCATGAATAGAAACAGTTTCACTGTTCTGTTACAAAGTGGAGACATTGCAAATGTTGAAAAATACCTGTTAATTGAGGAACAAGGAAGCAAGGAGTGTTTTGCTATTGGTAGAGTATATGACAGAGCGCACAGCACTCTGTGTGATTTGCCACATGTTATGGATCTCAAAAGAGAAATAAGGGGAGGAAAGTTGGCTTTCAATGTGAAAGTTTTCAAAAGCAAATG